TAAGATGATTTGGCCAATACTGTTATGGCAAACGGCACACCATTACAAACATTCTGTTATGGCATACACATACTGCCAAAGTCAACATTATGTTAAGAAAAACACACTGCCACAACCAAGGCAACATTCTGTTATTACCAATACACTGCCACAACCAACATTCTGCTATGACAAATACTGATACATTGCCACAATCAACATTCCGTTATGATAAACACATTCTGCTACAATCAACATTATGTTATGACCAATACACTGCCAAAACCAACATTCTGTTATGACAAACACAATGCCACAACCAACATTCTGTTATGACCAAATACACAACCACAACAAACATTCTGATATTGTGACAAACACTTTGCCACAATCAACATTCTGTTATGATAAACACATTCTGCTACAACCAACATTCTGTTATGACCAATGAGCTGCATCATGTTCAGACTAGTAATTTATTCAATCTGAGTCGCGGGCTTGAGCGCGCGACTTGTAATACGTGTCAATAGAAGTTTATAGCTCTTATCTAAAGTTAATCTCTTTTCTTATCTTATCTCCTTTAATTATAGTAAAGTCTCAATAAAGATACAAGCCTGTCATGCAAAGTTAGGTATAAAATCAGGCTGCGACCTGGCAATAAACAAGTTTTGATTTTTGTAACTAAACAGTGGTGTTGCGTTACTCTTTTCTCCGGGCATAACCCAAGTCGGGAATCGCGTACCGAACCTAGAATCTTTCAACGGTGGATTTGAGCCCCTAGCGTCTAGATTATACCTGCGGTATATCTAAGAACCTAGTACAATCAGCCAACAGACAATTAGGGCCAACCTTCTGTAATGGCTAATTACACACTGTTAAAACCAAAATTCTGTTATGGCAACCAGGTTGCTGCAAACTACATGCTGCCATAGTAAACATGCTGTCAAAAACAACACATTGCTGTAGCTAATTACATGCTGCCAAAGCACACAAATTTATCCAGATGACTGACAAATATTAGAAATAGGAATAATTTCTCCAAATGACTCATGTCTACAACTCTATTCTGGGTAAAATTTTAGAAGATAAGTTGCATCCAGGGCTGCTTACCTCACATTTTCAGTCTCAGACCTGAGCCCCAAAGCCAAATCTTATTGTCTTGACAATAATTTTTGCCTGCCATGGAGACTGAAGTAAACTTTGGTGAGTCAACTACTTTTGAGTAGGCTAAACATTTGTATAACTGTCTAATGCTGCTATCAATTAATTAGCTTTTTGTAGCAAGTTATCTGATTTATAGCAACTACAGCAGAGCCTACTATGGGAAAAGGAACATACATGGGATTTTTGTTGCCTTAAGTTTTCTTTTTTTTTTAATGCTCATCGTTCATAGTCTGTGTTTATATCTAAATAGAATACTATTATGATAATTTAACTTACGCCCCTCATTAAAATGCAATTTTACTTGACTTGAAAAAAAAAAAAAAAAGGAAACATATAACAATCCACTCAGAGTCAACAGAAAAACTGTGGTCTTAAAATGGTGGACTTATGTCTTATTTCCAATCATAGAATTTAATAATAATAGTGATAGTGAATACTACAAAATTGGTTAGGACCTTGGAGAAAAATTTGATAATAGTAGTTTTTCATGCTAAAGTTCTACTTACCGTCCCTAAAGTATTTTTTGAGAAAAAAGAGCCCTGAGATATCAGCTATATGTTGTATAAAAATATTTAAATGTATTTAACCAGTTTACACTTACAGAGAAGATGACATGCTTATTCAGATTCCTCATTTCCTTCTCATAAACACAAGAGCCACCCAGTCTATTCCAATCATTTCTATTCCATAAAAAGACTAGCGAAGAAAACTACAAAATTTGAAAAGCCTTTGGGAATCAAATAGCTTTCTCTGATGATCTTAATCCTACTTATCGCCCCTTCATTACCATATCCAGGCTTGCAAACTACTGTGTAGGAAAAGGACCCCATTTCTAAATAGAATTCATACATGGACTGAAGCTGGGACGAAGTCCCTCTGGGCCACTGTCTATGCAATTTATTGTTCAACTTTTTTCTTTACCTAAATACAAACTATAGGAAAGATTTATGTAGGTGTTCAGGTCTCAAGAAGCATCCAGGGACTAAAAAATTGGTTTTTCCTTGCAAATGATGTCCCAGCATTTATATTACTGAAATGTTCAATTGATTTGGCTTATATGGGGTTTATCCTTCAGATATGCAGTCTTTTTTGTTCCATTCTCTCAAGTCTAATTTGCAGACTGAAAAATGAAGTCATCACTTTAACATAAAAAAGTTAACTAAAATATGAATGTGCTTCCCTTCTTTAAGTTTTCCTACACATGAGTTGAGCATGCATTGTCAGGTTGTGTAGGAGTTCCAGCCATACAAGTTTTGATTAATCAATTTATGAGAAAAGGTGTATATTAAATTTTTTTGGTATTTTGTTGTAGCTCAACAATCAACTTTAAAAGAAAAAAGGAATTTCAAACAAAAGCTACAAAATAAATATGAACATCTTGTTACAAATTTTTAAAAATTAAACAATAATAGAATTACAGTGTTTACTAACTTGATAGCAAGCCCACAATATGCAGATTTTTCTAATTTCACAACATTATCCAAAATTCATTAAATATTGCCCACTGTTTTTGAAAATAAAAATTATTATAGTGGCTAGGAAACAGGGTTTACCACTCGACAAAATGGAAGAGAAATTGATTTTGAGAGATGACCAAGTATTTTGAATTTCAGATGTCTGTACTTAAAAGGTGCAAATCACATTTCAACTCTAAAATGGGAAATAATGCTTTCTTCAGTGGCACCTTTCCAAAAACAAAAAAAGGGGAAGTGGGAAAAATCAAATATCTAAAATGCCTCAAAAAAAGTAAAATACAAATCTAAGGATATTGCTCAGGCAATACAACAACCACTTAATCAAAATATACTGAAGCAAAGAAATATTCACTTTTGCCTAAGACACTGATTAGTTATTCATGTTTCTTAAAAACATCGTTTCTCATGTATCTTGTTAAGAAATAAGGCTTGTCACTGACTGCATCCTCTGCCTAATTCAGGATGTAAATGGACAAAAATGCCAAAGGACAAGACAACTTTCTTTGATATCTGTGTTCAGGATGTCTTTCTCCTGTTTGTTGTGTGTACTAAAGCAACCTTTGTATTGTTAATAAATGTATTTTTAACATAGATTTTTTCAATTGCAAAAGACTTCCAAGTGCACTTAACGAAACTGAGAACAAAAACTGTTTATTTGAAAATAAAAACACTTTTTGAGTCCTTTGTCTCAAAATTAAGTAAATGATCGAACATCTTAGAAAATTATTACAGGGGAAATAAGCAACTATACCTTTAGCAAGATTTAGATTGATACTGCTTAATTCCTGAAGCTAAAACCAGGTGAAATATTAAAAACAATCAATAAATATACCACAAAAGGGGCAAACAAAACAAAATAAAAACTGCCATTTTATCAACCATCACTTCATTCTACTTTCAATCCGAAAAACTATATGAAGAATACATGCAGTGTTGTCTTCGATTGTGCAAAAAATGCCTTTATAAGGTATACTATCTCAAACATCTATTTTGTCTCAGGTATTGTAGTATCAAATAATTCAGATCACACCTACAAATCCTAAATAACCAAATCCTAAGTACCTTTTTCATTGAAATTAAGATTCATTATATCACAAAACAGCTAAGCTTATGTATGCCATTGGGATAATTATAAGTATTCCGCACTATCCCACAGCAACAAAACTGTCTGGCATTTCCATTTCTACCACTATACAGGCTTTTTTAAATTCATTTTTGTTTAATAAGCTAGCCAAAAGATAGATTCACAGTAGACATTTTCTCAGCTCATCCTTTTCAAAGAGCTTTGGAAAAAGCTCAAACGAATTCTTAATGACCAATGGGGATTGATCCTCTCTCTTAATTTCTAATTAATAGAACTTGATACATTTGAGAAGTAGAACGACAGACGTGGGAATTTTATTCCTCCTGATCGTAATTCTTGTGCGAAATGTTTTCTATAGGCAATGGTCATTTTTATATTTTATTGATTCCCTTTACTGTTGCCTTAACACTTGATAAACACAGTGAAAAGTGTTTTTGCTCTACGGTCAGCAACCCATGTATTGCAAAATGGGCTCAGAATGCTCATCTATTCATGATTTAATAAGCCTTATATTTAAAACGAAAAACCTCAAAACACCCTTATTCAACTCCCCTGCAGTAGGTGAAACATGTGGAACATGAAGTGATCTGGACAGTATTTGCACACATACACAATGAATATATCAATATTTGCAATTCTCAGCTGCAATTCTCCACACTTTATCCCAAGGGAAAAATGCAATTTTCGCACCAAATAGTATTCAGAGTGATCGGACCTGTATTGGTGTGATACAGCATATGAACTCTTTAAAAATGTATGAGAGGTCAAGCACCTATGACACTAGATGCAATAACCCTGCCATTTACACCATAGTGGGACACATAACAACACAGAAACTGTATTTCCCAGTGCAACTTTATCTGCAATAAATTTCTTTCTTTTTTTCAAAATGATGAAATTAAATGGAAGGGCCGAAAAATGTATACTATTGATTGAAACCCCATCAAATTCAGATGCTTCAGTTCAATTTCCAGTTATCTCTACTTCAGCGGCATGTATGGGAAAATAATATTAGTAGACCGTTCACTGTTTCCCTTATAGAGCCTATGTTGAAAATACCAGGCACTTTAACACACAGAAACATTTACTTTCTTCAAGAGTAATTCACTGGGTTGATACACTTTATGTAGACTTACTAAAAATGCATCTTGCTCTTGCTGGAATCTATTTTGAAAGAATCACAACAAACCTAATAAAAAGCATATTAATCACTTCTATTATCACAAGTATTTTTTTACTAGGGGTCATACCTATTTATTGATACAGACTTCCCAAATTTTCATATTTCAGTTTCTTACCTCCACTGTGTGTGCCATTTTGTATCCCTGAGCCTGAGGTGATATTATAGCGTCCTGTCATGTTATCCTCGGTCCTGCTCCCAGGGTACTCCATGGCCAGATCCGTCCTGATTCCCTGAGGCATGGCCAGCCGACACCCATCTTTCCGTATGGGAGTTAGAAAGTGAAGGGTAATAGTGGTCTCTGTCTGGACTATCCTGGCCACTTCAGGACATGTGGTGAAAGTTAAATTATACTGGTCCATGTTTCCCACTTCCAGTATTTACCTCCTGTGCTGTGGTAGTTATCTTTCTTTATCAGACTTGCCGTTTTCCAACACAGCAATATCCACCACCCACACAAGAAAATTTACACCTGCAAATGGGTTGATATCTGGCCCCTTTTTTGCATGGAAAATATTAAATTGCAAACCCCTGGTACTCTTTACATCCTCCACAACTACAACTCTCGCTAAGTACCCTGGATTTTTTTTCAGTCTATAGTAATTGCGAGTAATAACTGCCTCTTCTACTGGAAACTTTTCATACATCCAATAAAGGTCTGTCGGCTGAAAAGCATATGGTTTGCCTACTCCCTTTAACAAACAAAGTGCTCACACAGATTTGATTAATCAACTCAAATACTAACTAGTGATTCAGGAAATATCCATATCTAACCGCCAGCAAGTGTCATCCTATCGTGCTACATATACTGCTACTTGGTTCATCCTCTATTGATAAGTTGTATAAAGTTGCCAGATTATTTGTCTGGGAGCAAACTCAGGGGATCTCCCCCCTTCAAATCCCTACCACTTTTACTTCACCAAGATATAAATGGAACCAAGCCCTCAATAAAAAAAAAAAAAGTGAGCAAAGCTCAGCTCTAAATACCATCCTCTAACCAGCTCTTGGTAGCAATTGCCCGAAAATCAATGAAGCAAGCTGCATCCCGTGAGCATGCATTACTTGCCCCCTGACTGTGAGATGTTCCACTTTAATTGATTGATTTCTACATCATAGTAAGTACAGAACTGATCAAGTTTTGGGTTCTCCGCTCCACGTTTCCTAGGCAATGCTGCAACCTGTGCAATGGGCCCAATTGATCCACCGCTGAAACAGCCTAAACTATGTCTCTATGACAACAGCCAATAGTTTTGATGATATTTTTAGAAAAGGGTGGCACTTAAATGGAGGAACAATTATAAAAGATAACCTCCAACACTACGTCACATTAATATGAGATCCTACAGATTTATGACAGGTCATATAGCTGTTGACTAATCTGGCGTGGTGGGCATATACAAACACACAGCAATCATCAGTAAGTTATTTTGGGCAGTCATCCATCAAGATTTCTCCCTCCTCCCTGGCCTGAGCTGACACTACCTGGCATGCATGTTCCTGATGCACAAGACAACTGTCCAATACTTTATCAAAGAATTAATCTTATTACTGGTCCAATCTCAGTCAGAAAAAAATCAATCACAAGTGCCCTTGCATGGCAGATACTCTTTAATTTGATTTTTTTTTTACAAAACTTGTTCGACGTTTCCTTGAAAGATGGAAGAAAATTTATTAATCAAGTTATCCACTCATACTTCATGCCAACTTTAATTAAACACAAATGTGTCAAACAATTTTTCTGAAATAGTACACAAAAAAGCATGAGAGTTCATTCTTTTTGTTACAAAGTATCTGTAACCAAGTCACTGGCCAGTATCTATCAAATTAATAATAAGCGATATAAATGGAACAAGAATTTAACCAATATCTCCTTGTGAAAGATATGCTGGAAGTGCAAAGGGGAGTTTATAAGAAGTGCCTCATCATCAAGAGGCTATTGGTTCTTGGCACTCCAGTACTTTGATTAGAAATCATCATTTATTACTTGATGCATGTTCACAAAATAATTTACAATGGTGTTAATCATTCATCAGCGAATCACAACAAAAACCATCACCATTTTTACCTAATTACCCTTTATATCATGAAAGTCAAATAAAAATCGTATTCCCAGTGTGAAATCTATAGAGACACTTTCCACCAAATGATAATGGTCAATATTCTGGGCCTATAATCCTTCATGTGGACTACAAAATAACTAATGATGCACTTAAACTTATGAACTGATCCGTCACTCATACTTTCAATGGCTTGATTAGTTTTATCAGAATGTAATACTAATGCGCAATAACCATCTTCATCCCTGTAGATAATGCTTTTGGTTATTTTATTGTGTTCATGCTCATATTGATTGCCTAACCTTCCTCTGGCCTGACCTGTCACTATGCAGACTGATTTTATTGGCATTATTGGTGCTCAGCAGTATTAGGAACAATTATTAAGATCCCAGGAACCATCTAAGTGAATGCCAAACTGGCCATGACAGGAGATTTACTTACATAAGCCTTTTGGTTAAATTTCCAGTTCAAAATATTCAGTAGACCATGATAAGAGTTAATTTGTCCAAACATAACCTTGTTCAAATATTAAATTATGGTGTTGGTTAGGATGGCATGTTTGGCCAGATACTGTTTGTGTTGCACAGTCAGCTCTTTTTGTTTAAACGTAAGGGTCTTTCAGAAATGGCATAAAGAACATACAATAAGTCAAATTTTGATTCTAATCAGAAAAGGCAGTTTTTTTTTTATCCCCCACGCCTATGGATCTGTTGTGTAAGGCATCTGAGTTGCATAGGACAGTCTAAAAGACATGTCTTACATTAAATATTTGGTGAATATTACATTAAATACATTAACATCTTACATTAAATATTTGGTGAAACAATCAGTAAACAATGATATTTGACTTTGTGTAATTAACCATTTATAAAACCATCAAAAATACCCACTTTTTTATGCAAATTTAATTATTTTCTTGACATATACTGATAACTAATTTTTTCAAGTGATACAATTTATGAAAAACAATAAACAAAAGTTGTCTTAAAATGCAGTCAACTATTCATCAGCTTTGCATCATCAGATCAGTGCATGTAGGTAACAAGGACAATGTGTTTGTCTCCATGTATCCTGCCATACCACAGAACCCTTACAATGGACTATCAGAGCAGGTAGAAGATCTGATGAGGTTTCACTCCAATCATTTTTTTGTAAAATCAATTAATCCACTGATCTTTTAAAGGAAAGACCCTCCAAAGGTCTAGGCACTACCATAGCTGCAAGGTTTCTTCTGCTCACCTGGGGCTGACTCACCGTTTTTCTCATTATTATCGATTCTAAATTATTAGTGCTTTTCAAACAAAGACATTAAAGCCACTTGACTAGGTGTGCTTTTTTTAAAGTGATTAACAGGCAAACACTTTGGTTGGCACAACTGGAGAAACAACTGAAGCATCAAAACACAGCATGACCAGGTAAAGCACTTACATTCTACAAGATGGATTGCCTAATAGCTTGACCCACGTAGTAAACAGGTCTGATGATTTTTTTACTGATTCACTAAACAACAAGCAATTTCTTAGTCAACTGAAACATAGGCTAAATACTATGTAAAACATGAATGGCAAATCTTAGATGTGTTAATGCTACAGTAGAGTCCCAAATGACCACTGTCTTCTCTTAGAATCACTAACACATTTACCATGTAACTCCACTGCAATGTGCTGCACTTTCTTCAAAACAACACACACACACATACATATATAGTCATTTGTAATATTGCGAAATGCAGGTACCAAACTGAATGTAGATGGCAAATATTCTGAAGGGCACCAAAACAAAGAAAGAAAGAAAATTTATGAAAAGTGTTTTGAGTCTAGATAAAACCCGAATACACAATTAAGTTAAGAGATTCTTTGTTTGACAAACAATATATCAAAATGCAGTACTCGCAAGCTAAGGACAGGTAACTAATGCACTTTTGTGATGAACAGGAAACTTTGACCCAAAATCAATTGAATACTAAGAGACTGTGGACAGTTTTCTCTAGGGGCGGGTAATAAATCAATCAGCAGTCACCACCTAAACCGAGACCTTTCATCAAAATCTACTTAGAGAGAAACCAGGACAGATATTGAAAAATTCAAATCAAAATGCTGTGAATGAAGTTAGGAAATTGTGTTTAAAGTAATCAACATAAGATCCAAAACCTTTCTCAATCTCTGATATGACCTTTTCTTTAAAGGGATATTCAGGTAAATCCAATTATTTTCCTTTTTTTGTTGAAGATAATATAATGAAAAGCCATAGCATCTACATGCATCTTGGCTTCCTCATGGAACTCTGATGCCTCAAGCTGACATAATTGCTTATTTGGTGCTCATGCAAAAATAAAAAAATAGACAAAAAGCAGGATATACACCAATATACATCCTGTCTATTGATTTAGCATGACATGTAATTGATCTGTAAAGGAAATATATAAATACTGCACCTTAATCAGTTGGAATAGTACCTGTATATTCCTGTCTACAGATTTCTCCGATCAAGTATAAATTTAAAAATATCCAAATTATATTTAGTCAGAAAAAATATATTCAGCAGTCTCAATCACTTTTCACGGATTCATTAGCAGACACTTTAAAACGCTTTAAATTAAATATACAATTACTCATTTAATACAAACAATGATTAATAAATTACCAAATTTGCACACAACAATTAGGCTATTCACACTAGCACTTTCGACTGCGGTCAAGGCCTGACCTCAGTCCTATAGCAGTTAACTTTTCTAATGCGAATGGACGAAGTACCCCTGACCACGGTCTAAATAAACCTAGATCGGGAGCTGGGTTAAATCAGAGTTAACTCCAAATCGCGGTCAAGACCGGATATTTACATATGGAAAGCACGCACACAAGTGGGCAATTAATCAACTGATCTCCTTCGCAAGAAATTCTCGCAACTATTTGAGTACTACGAGTATCAGTAGCAGCAAAAGAGAATCATGGTCCGAGGATGCCGTCAAGGGCCTTCTCGCCATATGGCCAGAGAGTGAGGTACAACGTAAATTAGCAGGAAGCGCCAAGAATAAAATGGTCTGTAGCAAAATAGGCCTTAGGTTATCTGTATCACCCTGACTACATGTAGAATTATGGTATCTTATCTTTTGTCACCGTTATGCGGTAAACTATTTTATCTGAAATAGAATGATTTAAATATAAAGGGTCGGATTTTTACTTATCTGAACAATAGAGGGCATGCTGAACAGGAAGTACGATTGCTGAAATTCTATCGCTACTGATCGCTGCCGGGATCAGTGTGAATGCAAGTAATCTTGTTTTGGTTGACTGCGATTCAATCGGAGTTAACTCCACTGCGGTTAACTTTCTAATGTGAATGGCCTAAATGTTTTGTAAGTAATGTTCAGATTGTTGATTCAAAAGTTTGAAAAGTTAGTTGTCTTCTTGTTGTAAAGTTTACTTGTATGATTAACTAAAGATGGTAAATCTTGAAAACATATAACAGAATAAAAAAAAAACATATAAAGATATCTCAAGGACTAAAAGAAGATATGGCATGTGCTCATGCAATCTTCATTTTCCACTTTCCAGGCACTTTGCCGTCTTCACTGTCTGCCAGACATCGTCTTGCTAATTTTCCATAATCAAGGATAAATAACTCCACAGTCAATAGCACGATGTTGCAATCTGTAGCATGATCTTGCAGGTTATAAAACATGACCACACGTAAGATCACTTAATTTACAAAGGAAAGTCAGGAAGAAGATGAATTGTAGTATAGACATGCAATCAATGTCATTGAACTTGCAGTCACAGTCTGACAGTTTTCCTTGTACTGTCTTATACTTTCAAAGGTGAAATTGATAGTCAGCAAACAATAGAGAAATTTAGAAAAAGCAACTTGGCTGAGCAATAATATTGAGATTTCAATAATGGCTTTATGATTTTTTATTGCTATATCATTGTGAATATTTTTAATTTTTTGAAAACATTTCAATCTTTAACATATCTGAAACTAGGGAGGAATAATGTTATACATTGCAATTTTCTAAATCAAGTTTAGTTTAGTTTAGTTAGTTTAGTTTAGTTTAGTTTACTTTAGTTTAGGACCTATGCAATAAAGATCCCAAACATTGGAAGCATGTAAGCACTTGAAATAAAAGGGTGAAACCCTAGAAGCATATTAACCTAAAACAACAAATGCCATTCCCACATAATAATATTGTTATCTTTCACCTATATTGTGCAGCAAGTCATGAATTTAGAGCAGAGCAGATTTTGCTGCTTATTCCAGACATTCAACCTTCAAGCCATCTTAACAAAAAAAAA